GAGTCACCAAATCTTATCCCAAACCCCCTACCCTACCTGTCATCATCACCCCCTTGTTCTTTTCCTTTCTTGTAAGCCCAAAGGGATCCACCCATCAGTGAAACAAGAAACTCCTCTAATCTCTAATACAAGAATCTCTGTGAAAATGCGGATGGTGCTCGCTTTGGCAGCATATATACTAAAATTGGAACGGTACAGAGAAGATTGGCACACATGACACTCAAATTCGTGAAGCGTTCCATGTTTTTTGCCTGTCGGGTTCCCTGCTCTGTGAGCCTGCTTCTCCCTCTCCCTCTGCCCCTCCCCCCAGCTCGTATGCGTTCTTTCTATCTCAAATGGATGAACAAAATCTTTTTTAAAAGCATAGATATAAGGGGTGCCTGGGTGGCTCAGTTGGTTAAGTGACTGCCTTCGGTTCAGGTCATGAGTTCCAGGATCGAGTCCTGCACCCGGCTTCCCTGCTCAGCGGGGAGTCTGCTTCTCCCTCCGAGCACCCCTCTCATGCACTCTCTCATTCTCTTTCAAATAAATAAATAAAATATTTTTTAAAAAGCGTGTATGTATATGAATATAATATATATTATATATTATGTATTATGTATTATTATATATATGAATAGTATATACATGACATATAATAGTATATATATACACATACAAACAGGTTTATAACTTTTTAAAAAATATATGGGTATCTCCATCCCGAAAAAATATGTAACAAAAGCTAACGGGGGGAGGGGGGCACCCGGCTGGCTCAGTCAGAGGGGCGTGTGACTCTTGACCTCAGGGTTGTGAGTTCAAACACCACTCTGGGTGTAGAGATTACTTAAAAATAAAATCTTTAGGGGCGCCTAGGTGGTTCAGTCAGTAAAGCATCCAACTTTTGATTTGGGGCTTGATTTTGGAGAGAGCATGATCTCAGGGATTAAGATTCTCTCTCTCTCCCTCTCCCTCTACTCCCCCTGCTCATGTGCTCACGCATGCTCTCTCTCTCTCTCTCAAATAAATAAATCTTAAAAACATAAAATAAAAATAAAATCTTTTTTTAAAAAGCTAGCAGAGATTATAAGAATGGTAAATATTTTGAAGCTCATCTATGTTTTATTTTCCTACAATGTGTTCTAACCATTCTACTCAAGTAATAAAAATTGGAAAATTTCAAAGAAATTTTGGGAAGCCTTTTAGTGCTAAAAATCTTGTTTTGGAAGACTAAGCACATATGGAAATGCTCATGATACATTGGTAAGTAAAAAACAAAACAAAGACAAAAAACCCAAAACACCACAAATTTTGTTCAGTTTTATTCCTTTTATTTGCAAATCACACTTTACATATATTTTATTTGTGGGTATTTATGTATAGTGAAAACTGGTGTTGTTTGCTTTCTTATTTGTGCTTCTGTTTTCCAAGTTCTCTCCAATGAACATACATTACTTTTACAATTAGAAAAAAAACGTTATTTTAAAAAACACAAGTAAGGGTGAGTCTGGAAGATAAAATCAAGCGCTAGAGGACCAGAGTGGAGGCCCAGCTCCATTTACTAGGTGTATGACCTGGACAATTCACTTCACTAAGAGCTTCAGCTGCCTTCTAGAAAAGGAAGGGATAAGAGTACCATGACTGTGAGAATTAAATGAGCTGAGGTGTGTAAAGCAGTTGGTCCTCACTAATGGCCGATTGATAGTATTGTTATCACTAGCTCAGCCATTCAATGACTCTTTGGGGAATGAATGTTTGTACCCTGAAATAGTACTTCAATACACAGCAAAAATCCCTTCTGTAGCATTGTCCACCCCCCTAGCTCACCTTGCATATGTCCAGCGCCAGGGAGCTCTCTTCCTCCCAAACCTGCCCCTTCACGATGTCCTGTTCTACCAGTGTGTGGTTATTGTTCTGTCTCCAAAGAAGCCTTGACCCGAAGTCCAAAGATTTAAGTCCAAGTCCCGGCTCTGTGCCTCGGGAGCTGTGTGGCTTTGGACAAGTCACTTTCCCTCTCTGAGCTTGGGGGCCTCATCTGTGAAGTATCCTGAGGAACCTTCCACCCTAGAATTGCCTCATCTCCTTGGCCTGTTAGGTGCATCCGTGTGACTTAGGAGGTGGGATGTAGGCTTAGACGATGGTCTGTTAGGGTGCTGGGTGGGAAACAGCCCTGCATGTGTGAGGGGTGAGCTTCAGAAAAAACTGTCTAGACTGCTGGGTCTTGGTTCAGCCCCCAGAAGGGTGATGGCTGCCTCCAACATGATGCTCTGAGAGAAACACGGCATCGCTTCTGGAATATTCCTGCCAAAAGTGCATAAGCTGAATTCAGTCATGAGGAAACATCAGACAAACTCAAACTGAGGGAAATTCCACAAAACAACCGGCCTGGACTCCTCAAAGACGTCATTGTCATGAAACACTGAAGAATTGCTGCAGGTTAAAGGAGATCAAAGAATCTTGACAGCTGGGTGTACTATGTGATCCAGCGGTTTTGTTTCGCTATAAAGGACTTTCTTGGAAGAGCTGGTAAAAGCTGAAGAAGATCTGAAGATTAGACAATAGAATTTTGTCAGTGTGAATGTCCTGAGTTTTATCACTGTACTGGGGTTATATAAGAAAATGCCTTTGTTTTTAGGAAAAACCCACTGAGGTATTTAGGCATAAAGAGAATCATGTCTGATATACAGATAAATACACACACATATATTTATATTTTTTATACACACACAGAGAGAGAGAGAAGAAATGATAAGGTAAAAGTGATAAAATGTTAATATTTGGAAAAACTGGGTGAAGGATCTATGGGAATTCTTTGCATTGTCCTTGCAGATTTTCTGAAGTCTGAAATGCGTGAAGAAGGCAGCCAGCAGCGTGCCGCTTGCTCAGGAGAAGAGACAGCTTTACAGAGCCCTTGCAAAGTACGAGAGGATCTCATCTGACCCCACAGCCACCCCATTCAGAGCTAGAATGACCATTTTGCAGAGGAGGATTCTGACATCAGACACAGGAAGTGACTTGCCCCGTTCGCACAGCCCGTGGCCCAGACATGGCAGAGCTGGCGTATGAACTTGAATCTGACTCCTCACTCCTCAAGCGCATCACCATCTTCACTGCAACAAGGTCACAGACTCCCTCGCACCGTGTCTGGGACTGAGCAAAGAAAACATAGCTTCCTCACTCTTTGTAGAACAACGCAGAGGGGAGGGGGTGGAGCGCAGAACTAAATTTAGTTCACATGAGTTTAAAACTTAGTCTAATTCAACAACTTAAATATTCTCTGGAGGTTTCTTGAATTCGGAGAGACTCAGTCTCTTTGGCATAATTGCTCAGGCTTCCCGATTCCTCCTCTCCTCCCCTGCTCCTCCCAAATATGACGGCTGAGCTAGGGGTGAGGAGATTCAATGATTGGGTGTTGGCTGGCACCTGCTGGGATCTGGATGTCACTGAAAACATCCACTGGCTTTCTAGCCACAGCTGGTTGCTGGTGAACTGGTCAGGCCTCCTGCTGACTCATCAAGGCCTAGTGGTGATACTGGCCAACGCCACCTCACATTAGCTCGCTGTGGTTCTGTGCCTGGCTCTGGGGTTCTTATCTCGTCCTCTTTCTAGGCCCCCAACACCAAGCCCACCTCATCCCCACCACATCGGGTCCTAAAACAGACCCAGTGGCCATCAGTTCAATGTCTAGATTACCCAGAAATTAAGGGGGGTACAGAGGCAGGGCTGATACTCAGAGGGTATGCTTTGTTATTAAAATAATTCAGTGCTTCCCTCCTGGTTGGTAAAGAGCTGCTGCCCAAGACCCTTCAGTATCCCCTCCTCTACTCCAGCTGCCTCTGGCACATTCCCAGGTCCCTCTCATACCAGAAACTAAAGGGTTATCACCGCAGCTAGTCTCCAAGACTCTGCACCAGCCCAGAGACTCACTCAGCATCCTTCCTGATGTGAAGTATTTTGAGTATCACCACTCTTCTTAGCCAGGCCAAGCAGGGTCCTTTCTCTTACTCCAAGACTGCCCCGGACTTCTCTGAAAAGTCTCAGAGGACAGTGGAAAAGAGCCCCTCTGTCCTAGGCATTCCCCTCAACTTACTTAACATGCCTGCCCCTTTCTGGGCTCTACCCCAGGAGAAGGTGGGCCAACACTGGGGGTCTTCCCCCATCTCCGTTCCCCCACCCCCAGGTCTCGTCTACTATCCGGGCAAATACATTCTTCCCAGCCTCCCTGACACCGGGAGTGGCCAGCCATAGCCATATGACAACCCTCTGGCCCATGAAAAGGAGGCAGAAGTCTGCTGAGGATGGTTCCAGGGACAATGTTTGCTTTCCTGGTAAAAGTGAGAAACTAGCTCAATCCAACCCTCCCCCTGCTTCCTGCTTTAAACAATGATGTTGAGCCTGAAGTTTTGGCAGCCATAGGGGACCCAGCAGGATCCCAAGATGCTCGCCCTGATGTGGTTGCTGCCTAACTCCAGATAAGCCCCTGCAAGTTGAGCTACCTATTTTTTCAGCCAGACGTAATCCTGATGCAGGGTAATTGGCATGTGAGTCTGTCGGCCTACCTCCCTGACTCTGCTCACATTTTCTCCCTGCCTTCCCGTGCCCACGGTTCCCTGGGTCTGGCCGAGGCCCACTTCTCTCTCTGCTTTCCCTGTGTACATGAAAACTGCTTTCATAAAATCCTGTGGTCTTTTCCACCTGGGCAGGCCCTTGCAATGCTAAAATAGGAGATAAAGGAACATAGAGAAATCCTGTCGCTCTCCAGGGCCTGCCTTTCAAAATGCCAAAGTGTATTAACTCTACCATTATTCAGCCTTACTATAATTAACTCATTATTATTATTAACTCATATTGTTACTATTAATTCTAACCTCCTTTTTGCATTCTTTCTATAAAGTCCAGTTCTCCTGATATTATAATTTATCCCCATTTTATGGATGAGAAGACCCAGAATGCTTACGGAGATTGAGTAATTTTTCCGGAGCTGGAGGGAGTGTAAGGGATATTATAGGCAGGCCTGGAACCATTTACCGAGGTCATTAATACCCACTTGCCCCGGGCGCCCCACCTCCCTCCACCAACCATCCCTCCACCCCTCCCATACCAGGACCTCGTGCTCCCCCATACACTCAGCACGGGGGCGGGCAGGGTGGTGAGCAAGCAGCAAGAGGAGGCAGGTGCAGCAGGTGTTTATTGGAGAGCAAGGGTACCAACCCCAGAACCAGCTACACATATACAGGCTTAGAGGCCAGAGGCCTGGTTCCATAGGCGAGGCAGCACAGAGAGGCATCTGGGCACATGTGCATGTAGATTTCTTGCCTTGTACAGTAAGTCCGGCAGGCCCCCTGGCCCTTCCAGCAGCGCTTAAATTCACTTCTCCCTGTGCAGAGGAAGACCACAGGTCACAGAGCAGCCCATGGGTTGCAAGTTAGACCGCTGTTCACAGCTTTGACCATACATCAAGAGTTAGGCCACAGGTCACAGATAAAACCACTGACCACAAGTTAGGCCACAGGACCCACATTAGATCACAAGTCTGGTCTTTTGTTAGCTCTCCAGTCATTGTGTTGGATGACTGGTCATACAACAGCCCACAGGTCCTAACTTAGGCCAAAGGACACGAACTCTGACCACAGGTCAAGGGGTTAGAGCAGATGGAACAGACTAGACCCCTAGTCACAGATGAGACAACTAGTTACAAATAAGCCTACCAATATCAGTCCGGGTTAGTCCACAGGTCACAGGTTAGACCACTGGTTATAAGTTAAAAACCAATTTCCCTTTTTTTTTTTTTTAAGATTTTATTTATTTACTTAGAGAGCAAGTGGAGGGAGGGGCAGAGGGAGACAGAGAGAGAATCTCAAGCAGACTCCACACTGAGCTTGCAGCCTGACATGGGGCTCCATCTCACAACCCAGAGATCATGACCTGACCCAGAATCAAGAGTCGGATGCTTAACCAACTGAGACCCAGGCGCCCCTGGAAACTAATTTCTTGTCCAGGTTAACTCACCCCCTGCTCAGGTACACTCTAAGCCCTTTTCATCACAACACTATACAATTATAGTTGGTCTTATTATGATCCCCATAATACAAGGTAAGGAAACTAAGGCACAGAAAGGCTAACAACCTTGCCCAAGATTACAGTCATTAAGGAGCAGAACCAAGATTCAAAGCCAGGTAATCAGACTCTAAAGTCCACACTGGTAACCATGACATAAACTGCTTTGCACACATAGGGACCTGTTTAATGTTAGTGGAGGAATTTCTAGCCCTGGGCCATGGAAAAGGTAGGACTTTGGAAGAACAGGTCTGTACCCCCTCTAAGGGTCTTCCGTCATAGCATGAGGCATCTCCTTCATTTATTTCTTCAACAAACATGGCACATTGGAGATACCACAATGAACAAGATGGGCCAAGGTCCATGCCCTCAAGGAGCTTCCAGAAGGAAAGGCAGTTAAAACCCTAGCAAATAAATACAATTAGTAGAGTTGTGGAAAGTGCCCCGAAGGAAACCATCAAGATGTGGTGATGGCCAATTAGGACAGGTATACAAATGTGAGGAGAGAGGCCACTCGGGCAGGCCTGTCTGTTACAGCAATATTTCTAGACATGTGACCCAGATAGGCAGAGAGCAGCCTCTGAAGAACCGGGGCTGAGCGGGAGGTGGAGGGGAAAGGCTTCCCTCCCTCTCCCTAGATTAAAAGAGATCCCTTGCGGGCGCCTGGGTGACTCCATCAGTTGGGCGTCTGACTCTTGATTTTGGCTCAGGTCATGATCCCTGTGTTTGGCTCCAGGCTCAGTGGGGAGTCTGCTTGGGGTTCTCTCTCTGCCTCTCCCTCTGCCCCTCCCCCCATGCTCTCTTACTCTCTCTCTCTCTAAAATAAATAAAGAGAGAGAGAGGGAGAGATCCCATGGAACCCTCACAATGGGCCAACCCATGGATGTTATTCTGCCCTGTCCACCAGCCATCCTTCCATCCTGCCAAGGTAGAGAATCTTAGCCTGAGACAGACCTGGCCTCAAAATCTCTACAAGGAAAAGGATCCACACTCTGAAGAAGGTGTGTGTGTAATAGTTAGCGGCATGCTGTGAACCCAGCTCAGACCACCTTCGTCCAAATCCCAGCTCTGCTATTTCCCAGCTGAGTGACCTTGGCCTCAGATTCCTCCTCTGTGGAACTTCCCCCCTTTCAGGGAGGCAGTTATACGGGCTTTAATCACCCTAGCACAGTGCCTGGCACATAGTAAATACCCAATAAATGGAAAGGGAGATTACTGGAATGACTACACAGAGGGGGGAGCAACCAGGGCTCATTCGCGGCCAAACTTCTCCTTTTATAGCTCAAGAAAGGAAGCAACTTACCCAGCTTTTCCTAGCCAGTAACTGGTAGGTTCTGGAACCAGAACCCAAGACCCTGATTCCCAGGTAAGGGCAGTTCCTATAACTCCTCTTAACACATCATCACATTTCGACCTTCTGATGACCCTGAGACCCAGAGTTGCTATTTTCTCCTACGTGATCTGTAACCACCCCCCCAACCCTCATCTCTTTGACTTCATCTTCTCTCCTGGTGCACCCCCACTCCAGCCATCCTGGCCTCCTCACTGCTCCTCAGACACCATCAGTCACCTTCCTGCCTCCTGGTCCCTGTAAAGATCTTCTTAATATTCTCACTGCAGTTAGATCTCTGCTCACACCAGCCTTATACAAGATAGTTAAGATACCTGAGACTGACTTCACGACAGTTCACTAAAACAAGACTGGTTCCAGTTGACAATTGTTGAGATTGGGTGAAGGTACACGGGGGTTTTTCATACTATTTTTTAATTTATGTTTGACATTTTCTAAAATAAAAAGGTTTCTTTTAAAAACTTACATCATTACATTATTCTCTATGTTTGCAGAAATTTATATTTTTCTACAATAACATGCTTTAAAAAAAAAAAGACTCACCTTGTTCCTTATATTATTCTCTCTACTTTCATATAAATTTCAAGTTGTTCAAAATAAAAACTTAGAAAACAACCCCTTACACAGGGCCTCCCTTGACCATCCCCATCAGCTCTCCCATCCACCCCTCCCACGTGCACACATCACACTGACCCCGGGTCCTGCTTCTACTCTTCTGAGCACTTATCACCACCTGACATATAGTGTTTATTTGGTTCTTTTCTGTCTAAAATATCAGCACCATGAAAGCAAGGACCTTGTTTTCTTTCCTTCCTGGTTCCCCGATAGCTGTCATGGTGCTGGCCCACAGTAAGTATTTTTCAAAAAAATATTTGTTGAGTGAATCCCATTTTAAAGATTAAGAAACTGAGGTGCAGACTGATTTAGGAAGTTGCCCTAAGGTGCCCAGCAAGTCAGAGGTGGCACCAGGACACATACACTGGTCTAGGCCTCCTCCATCCTCCAGAACCTGGGAGGCTATTCCTCATTTTACACACACACACACACACACACACACACACACACACACACACACACA